AACTCCCAGGATTCCCGAGCCAGCATGGCTGGCTGGGGAATTCTGGGAGTTGAAGTCCACCCATCTTAAAGTTGCCAAGGTTGAGAAACATTGTGCTAGAGAGTGAAAACGGGCTTTCACACACACAGTAGGTACACCATAAATAGGATAAGATCTTAAGGGGTAAGTCAACAGCTTCACAGAGGAGTAATGTTTTCAGCTGTGGTTTAAAAAAAGAGATGCTGTATTATGTGTATGTATTCTGCAAAACTAGAGAAGCAGAAAGAAAAAGTAACAAGCAGGCAGCCAGTTTCAGTGTTCTCTATAGGGCGCAGATAACGGGTGGCACTTAGTGTCCTAGCACCTTTAAAGGCCATTATTAGTATCAACTAACAAAGACAAGGGGCATCATTATGACATTCGGGGAGAGAATCGGAGGAGGCCTGTGTCCTGCGCAGATGACGAGAGTGTGACATGCACAAGCATTTCCCTCCTTCCTACCCTCCCTGCCTGTGATGCGTTCCCATCAAGATGCTCAGTGTTCAGGTGCGATCTTTCTCTAAGAACCTATGTCCCAGGCTAAAGCCATAACCTCTTGCTGTTGCTTCCTTTTTCAAAACAGGTCCTACCTCCAACCGAAATTCCCAAACCCATCAAAACCCCTTCCATACAAGTCTTGGAATATGGGGAAGCTGTGGCCCAGTACAACTTCAAAGGAGACTTGGCAGTGGAGCTGTCTTTTCGAAAGGTATTGGAGCCCATATATTAGCAGAAACATAAATTCTCGGGATGGAACCAGCAGCAACAAGGCTTTGGAGTCGTCTTCCACTGCCATCTGGCCTCCAGTCCAGTTCATTCCTCTCCAACAGATGTTTGGTTGTCTGTCTCTGCTTCTCATAAACGGAGCTCTGAGACAGCCAATAACATTTTTAGTGCTGCAAGGAAAAATCCAAGAGGCACCTCCCGTGGCGATGAAACGATGTAGTAAATAATTTACTGCCCACTTTTTAATGGCCATGCTGAAAACTGCTGCGTGAAACAGGCTGCGTTGTACTGGCCTAATAGCAGAGCCAACCCTGCTGAGTTGATCATCATGTACCATCCCATCACTCTTGGAAAACTCTGCACCAGAAAAATTTTTTTTGCTAAAGATAAAGGGAGAAAGATGGGCCTTCCAGATGTTTTGGAGTATAGCTCTCCTATGCATTCATCAGTTTGATTGGAGGACAGGGATAATGGACAATGTAGCTCCAATCATCTGGAGGTTACAATTCATTTTTGTTGCTTTGTTTAACTGAAATCAATTGGGCATTATACTTGCTCAATTTAAATGTGTTGTCTGAATTCATGTTGAATTTATAAAGAGAGATATAACAATTAGCTTCTTTCTTCTGGAGAAAGAAGAGGAAAGAAGAGGACATATATTTGCAAAATCAAGTTGATTGTTTACTTATTGAACAGATGTTCCACTCAAGAGAACTATAATTTTATCAAACTTTAAGAACATTATAACAGTAATATTAGAGAGGGGCATTCACCTCCCCACAACTGGGGATCTGGGCAATTCTTGACCCTTTGGAGAAAAGAAAATGTAGTGAAAAAGTGACTAAATCACTGAGGGTGCTGTTACTAAACCTGGCAGGAGACCATACAGACAAATAAGGTAGGATTACAGGTGGCCAGGTCCACAGATCTTTCAGATATATTCAGATGTTGTGGTTTGGATTATGGAGTTGTTGTTGCTTTAATTTTGTACACCACCCAGTCACTGCTGTAAGATGGGAGGGCATATAAACACACACACACACACACACAGAAACAAACAAATAAATATCATAATGGACCTATTGTGCCTGTAACAAGGTGTGTGGCCTTTAGTTTCAAAGTGGTTGTTCCAGAAGGACAGAAAATCTCCTCTTGGGCGTGTATTTCAGCCTCAGGGGCTCCCTCATTCTCAGAGCATGCTAACTTTTTTCCTGTTCTCCGTTGCCAGGGCGAACGTATCTGCCTTGTCCGCAGAGTAGACGGGAACTGGTATGAAGGCCGTATCTCTGGCACCAACCGCCAAGGCATTTTCCCAGCCAATTATGTACAGGTGGTGAAAGAGCCAAGGGTGAAGAACTCAGAGGAGTATCCTTCCTCTCCAGGCCTCCGAGCCCACTCCAACTCATCCCCCCAGCCACCTGCACCCAGTCTGGGCAGTAGGTGGCAGTCTGAGACTTCGCCTTCAAGCCTGCCAAACACCCTGGCTGCAGACGTGCTCTCCTCCTCCGCTGGATTCACATTTCCCGTGTCTCCAAAATTTGAAAACACTGAGGCCACGAGTCACAGAATCCAGGATGCATCCAGGGCTAGCTCTTTCAGTCCCCAGAGTCAGAGCCCCGGGAAGATGACCAGCGATAGCCCCCAGCCTCTCACATCTTTCCAGATGAAGGATCCACCACAGCCTGCTTCTCCTGTATTGACTTCCCAAGCACCAACTTCCTTTCCACTACAGGTGAGATGCTGCTTTTCTCCATTGCTCATGTATGGTCTAAGAGACCAACCATAATTTGTTATCCCAAGGCTTAAAGATAATAAGGGGCACTTGCTGGTGGGTCTCCCTTCTTTCTCTGCAGACCCTCAGTTAGCATTCTCCTCAGGCCATCAGCATTACAAAAGCAATGTTGCAGTGTTCATAATGTGGGGCGTTCATACAACATCACAAGGCACGTAGAAAAGGGATCGGGCTTGTTCCATTGCTAGCTTCACTCTGAGTCCCCCTTCCCTATAGATGCCACTGCCCTCAATCACAGGCTTATCTCATTATAATAGCTGAAATTTATTTATTTATTTATCTACCTACCTATCAATCAATCAATCAATCAATCAAATTTATATCACCACCCAACTCCCCCACAAGGAGGGACTCTTTGAAATGGCCTTGATACAGCATCACTTTAGACCATGTGGGAAACTAAAACAACATCCTGTCATAGGGCTTGGCAGCAGCCCAAAAGCAATGGGAAGAGCTCAAAAAAACCAAAACCCACCACCAACAACACACCCTTAGCAGGGGACACATTTTGCATTCCTTTCAGTGGACGTGGGAGTGTGCATCTGCCCCAGAAATCCCAAAAAGCAAAGATTCCAGTTCTGTATTGAAATGACTAATGGAAACTAGGAGGATAATCATGCCTAACCTTTATATAGCTTGCCTTGAGCATTTCAGATTCCTCAGGTATACTGTCTTTTCTTCCTCAACAATAATCCTTTTCAAGATCGCTGTGTTGGAAGGAAGTGGTAGAAATTGAGGCCCAAGCTGCAAATATGATGGCTATGAGTTTATTGGTTTAAATCTGGTGTAACTATCTGTACCCCTCCAGGCATTGGATTCCAACACCCAGTAGCTCCGGCCAGAGATAGGAGGAGCAAGAGGGGAAAGAGTTTAAATCCAGGTTCCATCATATATAAACTGGAATAGCAACAGAATATGAGAAAATAATACAGATAGTCCTTGTTTAGTGACCACAATTGGGATCAGCAACTCGGTTATTAAGCAAAACAGTCACTAAGTGAAACTGCAACTGTGCTTATGAACTTATTTCAGCTTTCCTTTACTTTACAGACCTGTGAAGGTTGTAAATGCAAGGATTGGTCATAAAGTTACTTTTTCATCACCGTCGTAACTGCAAACAGTCACTAAATGAGGCAGTTGCTAAATGAGGACTACCTGTATCTGTTTAAAAAGAATTATGTGTTTACGGGTTAAGAATGGAAACAAAATTACTTAGGTAACATAACTTAATGGCTTGGGACACATTGTTAGAGCCAAAGTGACATATAGGTGGCAGAAATAGTTAAATTTAAGCCTTCTGACATCAGTGGTATTTTCCAGTAGCTTAGTAAAGCCAACCATTATACCCTAACCCTAACAAGCTGCTTCTGATTCAGTCCCTTGCTTCTGGTTTAGAGACTAGTTAAAATAAATATTTATGTATTTTACAGTTTTTAAAACCTACCCCTATCCAAAGACTCTTGGCCACTTACAACAAATGCAAGTGTATAAAAAGGAACATATTAAAAATGGCAAATACTGGGGTCTTATAACTGAACTGCCCACAAAAGTCTAGACATGACTTCAGTCCATCAAATGAACCCCTGTGCCCCTTCCGTTTCCTTGCGCCTATAACTGGTGTGCGTTAGTTTTATGAAAACTTGGTTAGTCCAACTTGGTTAGACAATTAACAATTGAAAAATAACATTTAAAGGCAACGTCTATAGCTACAGCTGAAAAATCACAACAGAATTCCAATCTTCGATGCACAGCGGGCCGAATCCCAATTTTATTGAATCTGAAATGATTATATACAATATAGTAATAAGGTGTAACAATGTTGCGTTAACAAAATATTTCAAATGTGAACTTGTAATAATGTTGGAGTAAAATAAAAAAATAAGATAAAATGCTGGTAAAAAAAGAAAAGAAGTGTCCAACTTCACCTCGGCTAACAACATCATTTGCAGTTCTAAGTGGATTTTGGTGGTGATCGATGGCCAGCAAATCTTACATGACACAGAAATGTAGAAATAAATATAATTTAGGATCACAAAGATTCGGTAGATGCACAGCTATCACTTTTTTGCTATTTCTCCTGATTATCATGCTTGTGGCACTTGTGGTGAACACATCATGATTTCTAGCAGGGTTTTCACCCTTCTAGAATGAGCAAACCTTTTCATACATTTTCTTTCTTGGGCTCCCATTTCATAAGGGCCACTTTTTTCTCCCCTCCCCCCTCCCCAAGGACTCGGGATATGGTTCTGTCCCTCCAAGTTTCCTTGGCACTTCTGCCAGTTTCCCCAGGATACTGATAAATCTTCCTTTCCTATACCTGTGTTTATTAGACTCAGGTGGCGTGCCGTGTTCTCACTGCCCTTCCTCTTTCTCGCTCTTGTGACTACAGAATTCAGCCCTTGAGACAGTATTTTCTCCAACTGCTAAGCCACACAGTCCCGAACACGCTGCCAGAGCCTCCCCCTCCAACATCCAGTGGACTCCGTAAGTGAGGCAGATTCTCGGTGGTGGGGAAGGGAAAGCGTTGCTCCTGCTGGCAGCTGGCCAGCCCCACCGTCCCTGTGAAGTGACCCATAGGGAGGGCTGGCTGTAGACGACCCCCTGGAGTGCCAGGCTGGGACAGTGTCTGGATTGTTGTTCAGAACAAGGGCCCTTTTTCAGAGGGGTTTGCGGAGCGCCTAAGTGAACAGAAGCCGCTGGCGGCTTTACCTATGCCAAGCATTGCAAAGTCCTGCTTGAAAGGCTGAGACAGCTCAAGGTTTCCAAGCTGCAGGGTGTATGTCTCTCCATCCCTCCTCCCCTCCCAAATATTTGGGGAGGAGAGCAGGCATAATGTTTGCCTGTGCACATTTCTTTCCCATGCATGAAACACCGCTCGTGCCTCTCATCTGTCCTGCCTGCAGAAGGGAAAAGTGAAATGAAAGTTGACTCCCCTTTAAAAACCTGTTCTAATTGGGGTACTGGGGAAAAACTAGTATGTCCCTATGCTGTTAAATAAACAAGAAGGAAATGTACTCATCCGTAGCTTGTGTGTTGCAGATACCAGGCTCTCTACCATTACAGACCTCAGAATGAGGATGAGTTGGAGCTTCAGGAAGGTGACCGAGTGGATGTTATGCAGCAATGTGATGATGGCTGGTTTGTGGGTATGTCTATATTTGTGGAGACGGGCACTGCGAAGCAAGGCTGTGCCAAATTTCAGTAGCTTGCAGCTTTTTCCACAACTTGAATTGCCTTTGGAGTCAGAGGCTGCACTCCCGAAAGGAGTGGGTGAGACTGACATAAAAACTACATTTGATTTACATTTCAGTTTAACTAAAATTAGACATCATTCATATGGTTATCCTCCAGTGATGTGTTTTCTTCATATTAATACCTTGGTAACATCTGAGTGTTTCTAGGACCGTATCCAAGGCTTTCCAGGCCTACGCGTATCTTGTAGCTTCAGGTGAGGCACCTATGCCTTATTTGGTGGAGAAGGCCTAGGGTAGAGCGTTGAAGGTTTGCCACTGGCCAACTTTGCATTTATTTTTAATTGAAAGCATCTTAAGAATAATATTAAAAGGTAGGTGTGGCCAGGAGTATGTGACAGTCTCCAAAAGAGGTATTTGTAAACCAGTTGGTGTAAACAGGATCTGGATGAATGGGGAAGATCTCCTGCCATCTGGATCACACTCTGAGTAGCAACACTACCACAAGAAAAGCCCCTCAAACAGGATGAGAGAGGAATACTGCCAAAAACCTTGAAGCTGGAGCATAACAGGTAGAAGTGGGTTAGCAAAGTAGGGTATTGGGTTCTTTGAAGATCAGTTTTTATTTCAAGAGGCTTGTTGAGAATCTCCCGGGGGGAACGGGACCTGAACCTTGAATCTCTTCTTTCCTCATGGGTTTCTTCTGTGTTTTTGTTTCTGCACTAGGTGTCTCTAGAAGAACACAGAAATTTGGCACTTTCCCTGGGAATTATGTTGCCCCTGTGTGACAAGCGGCCTCTTACATGCCAGGTGGCAACTGAATCAGAATCTTCTGCTCTAGGATCTTGCTTCCTTGGAGAAGTGCCCACTATCAATAGACAAGAAGCAAAAGAGAGAGATGATGTGAAAACTAATCTTGGGCCCCAAGTTATGTCTTTTGTTTGTCACCTGGAGTCTCTATTCCTTGACTGTTATCTTTCAGCTCTGCACCTTAGCTTCCTCTGTCTGGGTGATTGCAACCTAATTTCTTTTTCCAATATTTATGAAGCATCACTAATTCCAGTATTCCCATGATAGATGTGGGCTTGGTTGAGCAGAGAGTACTGGCCCCTTGCCCGTGCCTCAACTAAGTTTTCTCTTAACCTGGGATTCCGTATTTTTGCCAGTTCTCATGACAGCAATGGAAGGTAGAGATGAGAAGTCTCTACTGTTGAGCCTGCACTAATTCTTCCCTCCAGAAGGATCCACTTTTCTTAAAAGTACCAGGCCTTGTACCATTGCTTGGAGACTTGGTGTATAACCAAAAATCCCAGCACAACAGATGAACTGACTGGGTTTCCTGAGTACACAAACCTCTATGTGTGCCCCATAGGATTGTCTGGGCCTTTCCATCAAGAGATTGTGCCATTTACTTTATGCAGTCAGATAAGCTGCAGGGTTACCAGTGTTAACATTTTTGTATCTTGCCTAACTTCTCTCAAAAGCTTTGTTGCTGAACTTTGATCTAAATAGCTCTTCCATCCAAAGGCTCATTTAGAACTTTGATCTAAATAACTTACAACCACTCCCCTTTCAAACCGGACCCTGCAGGCAGATGCACTTTTCGTGGTTTTGGTTAACACAAGCTAAGTGGAATCAGTTGAAGAATGAAGAGAATGGTTAGGGCTGTTCCTGTCTGGGCCACTTCCCCTCCTACTTGAAATGTTCAATCTGAATTTGAGTACTTATTATCAGGGATTAAATATCGTTCCTGATCATGCGCACCTCATATTAAAAAAAGGTACCAGGAATTCCTTGTTCTACTTTTGCATTAAGGTCCACGTTGTTCACAAAATCTCCAAAGTTACATCTTGTTCCTGTCTCCGGAAGCAGAAGTAAGGGACCAAAACAGTGTTTGTGGGACCTCCTATCATCAGAAATCTTGGTCTCCCTGGATGTTTCTTATTTTCAGACTTCATCTCCTGACTCTTCCCAATCCAGCAATGACTTTCACCTCCACAGACAGCAGTCAAGACCAAAGAAACATCTAGAGATAAATGTTTCTCCTGGCCCCTCTTCTCAGATTACTTGTCAGATGGGTGCCAGGTTGTGGTAAAGAGGAAGGGGTGGAGGTGGTTTGTGTGCCAGGATACTATTTATGCCTCCTCCAGCCTCAGTGTCCTTTAGCAGTGCTGTCTTCTGTTGTGCAGATAGACACAATCTCAGCTCCTGGAGTCAAAACTTGCAGGTTGGAAGCAGCCCAGTAGAAGCCAGTCTCTCTCCCCTGCGTAAAAATTTAAATTACCTTTTGTCGGTAAAATAGACCGCATAGCAGCATCTTGCAGGTTCAGGCTCAGCATCCTACCTCAGTGGCTTTAGACTTCCTTCTTCAGGGACCTCTTTTCTTTTCACCGCATTTTTATGTCCGGCTTTGGTCTGGAGTGCTCAGCTTATGCGGAGTAATAAAAAGGTGAGGTAAGCTTGCTCTGGACTCCATGTGAATGGTGCTGTGTGTGTGTGTGCTCAGCTGCATCAGTCCCGCAGGACCCTGGCTAGCTTACTCAGATTCCCTGGAGGAGAACCTGAGGGTGTCGATTATTCCTACGGGGACTGCACATATACCAGGTTGAGATGGTAGTGGCAAGCAAGCCTTCTCGTGGGAAGATTGATCTTGCCCACAGTCACTGACATACTTGTAAGTAGCCCTTGGTTTTCCCTGGTTTGAAAACTACTGATGTAGCCTATTCAATAAAGATTGGGAATCCCTGACCTGACATATTTTGCAGGATGTATTATTCTGAAGCTGCCTAGCTACACTAGAGTTGATCGAAAGGGCATTTGATTGTTAACTCTGGAAAAAGAGGTCTGCGTCTATAACTGTCCACATGGCTTGTCCTGCCAATAAAATTCTCACTGAGCTAAAGCTGCCGTCGAGTGTGGCACTTTCTTGCCTTTGAACATGCACACTTTCAAGAGCCCACAAGGAGAGAAGGGATTGTGCCATGAAGCCTGAAGAAATGGTTGTCTGAAGTGGCTGTGCTGGGTGGGAGGTGGACCTCTGAGGTACATGGCACAAGCCCACAAACAATTATGTTACACAACAGTGTGGCTAGGGAACTTCTGGGGAAGTGTGTGTGTGTGTGTGAATTTCTGGAGCACAGTAAGTTGGATTCCCTGTGTCAGGTGCCAGCTTGAACTCTCTCTTTACTTCACTTCTCACTAGGGTTTGAGACAGGAGAGCTGAAGTGTCCTCATCAACAAGGACAGGACCAAATCTCTGCCCTTGGATCTCTGAAAGTCATTCAGGGAAGGTCGTATCAAGCCCCCAACATTGTCTGCAGCTTTAAGATCAAACTGCTGCATTATCTCTCAAGGATGGCCAACCATGTGTTCTGCGCAATCTGCAGGGCTATTAGACCAGGGAAGTAGAAATTCTGCCACAAGGTACAATAACAGAGTTAAAAATCGAAGCCTGTAACGATCCCTGTCATTTATTTGGACTTTTCATAATTTTTCCTCTTTTCAAATGTATACGAGAGAGGGCAAGTGGGGAAGCAAAATTGTGCTGTGAAAGAAATTAAAGCGGGAACCGTAAACATGGTGAAAAGAGTAAAGTCTTGTCAGGAAGGGGGGAAAAAATCAGTGTTTATGTTTTCTATGGTATAATCGGCAACTGACTCCTTTCCCGCCCCTTTAAAAACAGGCTGACGTCTAAAAATTATCTCCTGTCGCTGTGTCCTTGGAAGGAATGGAAACGGTCCCCTGTTCTATATTAAATTGGAATTAGAACTGCAAGTGCATTGCAAACTGAATGGGCCATGCTAATCTCTGACCCTTTCGAATGCTGCCTTCCCTTATAAAAGGTGTATTTTTTTCCTCTGCACTTTTCCAGCATCAAAGCAAGAGAAACCTGTGTGTTTCATAGATTTGATGCCCTCCCTGATCCCAGACAAAACCAGGGGCTTGTTTTTCAACAGCAGAATGTACACAGAGCTTAGCCTGAACAACACACCTGGGCTTGGCTCCGTTTCTTTCAGCTGATGTGCTTTAGCTCTTGTCACTGCAGAATTTTACCGATATTTATTGACCGACTCGAAGGCACAGATGGAATTTGGCTTTAGCCCCAAACAAACAACTTCTCTTCAAGTGCACACAGGCCTCTCTCTCTCTCTCTCTCTCTCTCTCTCTAATCCCTATGCACAGAGAAGGTCTGCCCTATTTCTAAGGGCATTAATTAGGAATGGCAATCCCCCTGCCCCATGTGCAACTGTTTATTAAATGTGTCCATTTATTTCTCAGAAGTGTCCTTATGGTTGGCCAGCTTATGGGTTTTGCACCCAGGGCACGCTAAACCAATGTTTCTCAACCTTGGGAACTTTAAGATGGGTGGACTTTGACTCCCAGAATTCTGGGAGTCAAAGTCCATCCATCTTAAAGTTTCCAAGGTTGAGAAGCACTCTGTTAAACTATAAAGTACAATTAACCAATACACCTTTTTACACATACCTCTTTTAACTGAGGTTTGCCATTTAGATCTTGCATATTCATTTTTCAAGGGTCACAAAAAATAAGGCAGATTAATTTTGTTTAATTGGAAAGCAGACCCCATAATGAGGGGAACGGTTCTTTTGTTTCATTTTGGTGAGACGAGCTGCGGTTACAAAATGTCAGCAGATCCCGTGGCTCCTATCATCATGGCTTTATTTTGCTTTCAATCTTTCCTCACTCAGTCAACATCAGGTCCATGGGCTTCTTAGAAATGTGGCTTGAAGGCTGATTTGGGAATTTTCCAAGAGACGAGTGTGACAGTGGGAAGGCCCTGCTAGCCAGAATGGTTAATGGAAAAAAGACGAAGCAAATTATTTTGAGCCCATCACCCTCATGGTTGTCCAGTAAAAGCCTGGAAGAGATTCTGCATTGCTGTCTTACTACCTAGGAAGAAAAAATTATCTGAGGTTGAAAGCAGGGTGCGTCCCTGAGAAATTCCCCAAGGGGAGCCTCTTGGTACTTGATGTTATTTTGGTAACACATGACATCTTATTTTCCCATCTGATATTTTTTTTAGAATTTATTTTACATTGTGATCTGATGTTTTAGAGTTGGTTTCTTTTTGTTATTGCATAGATGTGGGGTTTTTTCCCTCTATTATTGTATTTTTGATTGAAAAACAATTCAGGAAAAGTTTAAATAACCTGTTTACAGTGTAGTCCTACATCTGATCAGAAATAAATATCATTGAGTTACATGAGACTTGATCCTAGCTTACTGTAAAACTGAAACCAGTTGGGTTCCCTTGCTATCTTTAAATGCAGACATCTGTGCTTTGATGTGTAGGAACCCCATATTTGTGCTATGATTGTGTTAACACACACCCAATGGATAAAATTTCATCAGTGTTCAACCTTTTGAACCAGACCTTGTATCCTTGCTTATTTTAATGGAAAGCTGCAGTCTTAAGCCTTTTTCCTTGGAAGAAAATCCCATTAAAAATAGCAGGCCTTCTTTAAATGTTAATATGATCAAAATATACTTGATTCACTTTCCATTTGAACATTTCAAAACATTTTAATCCATTGAATTTTTAACCTAGCCCTTTCACGGTCTTCAGCTCTGCCCTCCTCGCCCCCAGAAGATTGTTCCAGGTTGATTTCCAAACAAATATAAACAAAACCGTACAAATGTTAAAGTCCATATGATAAACATTGCTTTTCTACACTTAAAATGTTGCAATCTGATTTATTTTTAGTAGATAAAAATCAGTTTTGCAAAGGACTGTCACTTCAAGTTTTGCAATTAATGTCACTTCAAGGCACGCATTTGAAATAGGGAAATAAGAGACATCAGCTGGTGCTAAACATCTTGTTATTCTAAATAGTGAACACCTACACTCTTTTTAAAGGTTTTTTTATTTAATTTTTTTTTAAACTAATCCTTTTACCCTCTGAAACTTATTGACAATCCTACTTCCTTAGGCTTAATGGATTTCAAAGTGGGGGATCAAACAGATATAATGAGATTGGCACTTTAATTTGTAACACACGAGGATTTTAGCATTGCAATAAGTGATTACATTTAGTAGGAGACAAAATACATTTGCTATCCTCTCTCTAGTTCAATCTTTCAGGTAACTTGTAAAGCTGCATTGCTGAACACTTACAGGGAAGTAAGGACCTGCAACCATTTGTAGTCTTTTAAGATGCCATAAGATTCTTTGAGGTTTTTTGCTATGTCCTGACTCACAAAGATACATCTGTTTGGAAGATCCTTAAGATCAGGCAACCTAATTTCTCTTGGTTAATTTATACAGTGTTAGAAGTCGTGTAAGCCAAAATTAATGCTGTGTAAGCTTGGTGAAAGATGAATTTGCAAGCCAACTACAATATGAATTTATGCATTTCATTTGGAAGCAAATTCCACCAAGCGAAATGGGATTTACTCTCAAATGAATACATGAAGGAAAGGGCTTGTATCAGGAATTGACACCTGCCATACGTGAAGCCCTGGATTATCCTGCCTTCATTGCCCCTTCTTGAGTTTGCTGACCATGTGCAATTTTCACAACGAGTCCTTCAGATATGTTGGACTGTAGTTCCTGTTATCCTATGACCAACAAGAGTAGTAGTCCAATACATCTGGAAGGTGTGAGAAGATGAGAAAGATTGCTGTAGATTTTGCTTGTCCAAAACAATCAGATTTAGGGTGAGGATGGAAATGCAAGGCTCCACCAGATGAACTCTCTCATTCCCACCCTTAAAGCTCCCTAACTCCAAAGGAGTTGGCTAAAAATCTCCCCCCACCTTGCTCCATCCTTCTCCATCCTTCACCTGCAGAAAGTAAAATTGTGGCCACAGCCTACGAAGGTTGCCCAGCCTGCTTTAAACAAAGGTTAGTTGTGTACATGTTAAACTGTGGTCAGCTACTTTGTGGTGCAGCATGGTTAGTTTATGGTTGAGCATATTGTAAACCATAAGTTCAGTAAACCTGTGTTGTCCGGGAACTGGGGAAGCTGTAACTTCAGGGGGCTGCAGAAAGTCTCGCTTAGTTGGAATGCGGTTGAGTCCTGGGGCCAAATCTCCATTCGGTCATAACCTCTAAGATCCGCTTCATCCTAGGGTTTCAGCCTCTGTCTCCACTTCGCTGCTGTGGGGAAAAGTACGAACCTTGTCCTGCATTTAAACTCTCTGAGGGCTTCAATTGTGGTGCAATAAACTGGTGTCCTTAGAGAGCGCGTTGCTTTCGCGCTCCGAGCCAGTTAACTGGACCAGTTGTCCGGGCGCGCCAAACCCGCCGGGCTCGCAGGGCTGACCGAG